TTAAAATCGTTCTGATTGATAAAAGTGTATGTATAAATATAAATATATAGGAATACCTTTAGTATAAGACTCAAAGTCATTGATGTAATACTTTCTACATTATTACATATAATTTTGTGATACATACATTTATCTAGTATTAATGAATTCAGAATAATCAATATGTACAAGCATATTACTCTATTTTTTGTGTATAACGGATTGTACTTTGTATGGTACAATTTCTTTGTTATTTCCAATGCACAATTATCGATTAATGGATAATATGGTTGATTTTCATCACATCAAATTTGTCATTTTGAATAAATATAACTTAAATTAACGAATCACTAATGAATAAAATATAAATGAGAGAATACAAATTAGAAATCGCGAATTAGTAATAGAGTGATATGAGTAAGCAATTGCTGTTAGATTATAGATATCAAATGAAAGGAAAACTCATTATTACATAACATAGTGTTCAATAGAAATAATAGATTTACATCATTCTATAAGATAAATGAAACGAAAAACGAAATATAGGAAATGAAATATCAACATTGGAAAAAAATAAACAACAAAGAATATTTAGAGAATTACAAACACTTAGCTATTTTGTCAATTACAAAAAATTACAGGAAAGAATGAGTAAGAATCCTGCATATTGAATTTAAGTGGGCACAGTATTACGACCAATATTGTTGGAATGAATTAGATATACGACTAAATACTTATTCCTTAATTATTTGACTGTAATAAAAAACGTCAGTATTTATAATTGAATCAGATATATATTTTTTATGAAAACAAAAGCTATCCATTATTTACTAATAAAACGTGAGTTAAAAAACCTGAATAGCACAGTTAGATATTTGGATATACGAGTGAGATGTTTGAAAACACTATTATAGTGGTAATTATAGAATAATATGCAATAAATAAGTCAGAAATATAAGTATTGTATTAAGAATGAAGGATTACTAGATTTACTATTGTAGCACCATTCTAACAATTATTCTAAAATTGCTTAATATGTTTCATCAAATAAGACTGATGTAAAGAAAATTACCAGATGTATTCTTTTCATTTTACGCTTAAAAACGATGTTTCTTTTGTAGTGTTCATGTTCAATATTATAATAGGAATATATGACACTATCCTAATTAGTCACTTATATGTTATTCCCTATTGTATTCTTCATTTCCACATTAGTCATAGCGACAAGTAGATACATTCGTATTAATGACATCTCAGAAATTATACGAATAATTCGAATATGATATCCTTGTATCGAACCTGTTGTTTGCACCAATAGTTGTTTATAACAAGAGATATATACCAATTTGGCAAACCATGTGTTACTGAGTTACAAATAACTACCACTATATAATACAGTATAAGTTCTTCAAAATTGTCAAAATGCTTCGATAATAATGAATATAATGCGATGTATTTTTGGCTAAATCCTCTTACATATTATATATTTCACTTGCATACGAAGTCCTATTTTTTCAGATTTAATAAGAATATAGCAACTTATCTTCATTTACCATTACTTTCATATGTTATTTCATAGTGAATCATCATACAATATTAATTATTCGTCCTTACATATATTACTCTTGGTTTTTCGTTTCTCTCACTCATATTAATAATATGTTTTTCATTCTTCAATACTTGCCTGTGTATAACGTGCTATGTTGTTGATTCATTACCTAGATATTTGTGTTTAACTCTCTTTTTCATATTGCCCTATATTGTTACTGATTGGGATGTATCATCCGTAACTTCATTCAGTACAAGTGGTATACATACATGTGATTCATTATGTCTAGACATTAGTAATGAATGGTTTATACATTTTGTAAAAACCAGAAAAGTGCTTAAACTCGACAACGCATCCAATTCATCAATTCTTGTTTTGAATAAGGTAACTCGTAATAGAGAAGTATCGCAAAACGAATTTTCTGTTCAGTTAAAGCCAGTTATTTATACATCCACGAATCAAGCATTACTTGGAGATTCTCTGTTCATCAATCATACAAATGATCCGAAAGTCTATATTCCACCTTTCGATGATCATTCTTGGAACAAAATACACTATTTTCCATGGAATGATTCGTTCAATTATGATCATATTTGTAACAATGTATTAAAGCGAATTACTAAAAATGATACTTTCTATATTATATCTGGTAGTTTCAATGGAGGTTTAGGACATAAATATTTATCAGTATTTCATTCTATAACTTATGCAATTTTGTTAGGACGGCGATTTTTGCGTTTGATTTGAATAATGATATGATTTATAGTTCATTTACCCGAAAGCTTTTGGAAAGAAACCAACAGTTGTTTTCGCCAATTACGATACTATGGAGGATATAAGGGATTGGTAATTTGTCGTAAGAACGGTAAATGTAATCACAAGTATATCACGAACTATCATAAGTTACCACAAGCAAATTTAGTAACAATTGATTTCCGCAATAATAAGCAACTGTATACGAAAATGAATCTAAATCTATTAAAGCAACTAGGTATAATTACAACAAGAAATTGGAGAGAATATCAAAAGGTAATATACAGGTTGCTATTAAATCCTTCTCTAAAAGTACAAAATTCTATACAAAATGTACTACGTGATTTACCTTCCCAATGGTTTTCAGTGGCAGTTCATATTCGATGTGCTGGAAACCTTGCAGAGTATAAAGAAAAAGTTCAAATGATCAAGAAAAACCAACTGGGACATGTCTCCAGTTTGATCAAAACCTTATATAGAAAAAATAATGTAAATTCCAACCATGCAGTGTTTTTGGCAACTGATAGCAAGTATGCACTCGACAAACTCACATCTTTATTAAAACCTATACATGTAATATCAAACACGCAAGTTATAAGAGGCCATTCCACTGGTGCTAACCAGATCATTGTAGCGTCCTCACTAACAGATCTATTTCTCCTTTCCAGATCCAGTGCATTTATTGGAGTTAAAAGGAGTGGATTTAGTAAAGTTGCCTTAGGAATGTCAGATCCTAAAGTAGTCAAATTGATTCCTGTTTAAATGAGAATTATACTGCAGGTAGTCGTAGAATGTTTTATTGTGATATGATATGCATTGATTCATTTTGTTTGTATTTATAATATGTATTTTGGTGTTTAGCTATATGATAATTTTTGAATAATGTATATATAGTATCTTGGTAATGACTGATACATTATTAGGTCGTGAAATACCTTATAATATGGTAATGAAAAATACCTTAAACTACTACATCAATGGTTATTAACGATTCCTATTATTCAGAATCAACACATATGATATTCTAGTACAGGCAACCATGCACAGTTGCTTATCAACTATTGAGGAATTACTTCATTCCACTATATGATATTTCAGTGTCATGGAGTAACAGTACAAATAGGAATATTGGTATATCTATTGAGTTTGAGCATTTAGATTCTAAGTTTTTTTATATTTAGTATGAGAAAGATTACACAATGGGAAGTAATGCTTTAATTCTACATACTGTTTTTTCTAATAACAATATACATAGAATAGAATACCATCCATTTTGTCAATAAAGAATACATTTACAGACATATCTTAACTATAAATCGACATAAGAAATCTGTAATACAATCAAATGTTTGCTATTTATATTTATATGCTTATTGCATATTATTTGGGATTACAATCGACTAAATACCTCAATGAAGTACTACTGTATATTTTGTATCATTACGATATACATGATAGGTATGAAAATATATTCTATAGAGTGTCTATCAAATAACAATCGGAGTGTAAACATTTGTTAATATTCTATATGTTTTAGATTATGTGATCAGGCAATCGAACATAGTACGTCCAGTGTCATCTTGTTTTTATTAAGCTTGATTATTCGCTTTTTGTATATCCTCTGAAAAGTATTTATATTTGTAGTATCGCTTCATATATACGCTTTTATATCGTATTCCACATTTGAGCTTTTCGAGTAATAATGAAATAACCATTATAAGATATTTTCCAAAAACAATCTTAGACTTTATATTGCACAAATAGCTTATCTATAACAATAGAATCCTATTAGTTTTTCTTTGTTATTTTATCTAGAAAACAGAAACATCTTTCCACATATAAAAGGTATATAAGATAATATATATTTACAATTAGGAATGCAATTAATATAATCGAAACGATTACTTAATTTGTTTTTCCATTATGTTTATTATCATTATCTCATTGATGATATCATAATATTATTATGAAATTTGCAATAAGCAATATTTGGTGTGTTACGTTAAAATTGTACTCCCATTTATCCTTATTCACAATTATTAGAAAATTGCATGCTTTTCTTGATACTTTAGGAATGAAAAGACATATTATTTTTGTTTATATGTTAGGAGTGTAAATTATGTGCACAAGAGTAACATATTATTACTATTTCCAGTGATGGACTGTTAGCTCTGCATTTCATTTATTTCTGATATTCCTCTATTTGAGTTGCTTGGAAGCAATGCTGTTATGAAGCACTATTTGATACTTATTCATAAATCATACGCCTTGCATATAAGCATTACAAACCGGTTTATCTTGTTTTCTGATTTGTTATTCTATTAAGATTTTGTGGACAGCTTTTACTCATAATTACACATTTATTGAGTATCTATATCGCAGTGAATTCTTACAATAATTACCAAAGATTCACGTATTTTGATTAATATCACATTGATAATATGAGTTACTATGGAGTACTGATATTCACAACATATATGTAGATTATGATAATATATGCTAATTTATACAATACTGTTATTGTCTCTTGAAAAGATAAATAGTTGATGTCTATTTACGTCTTACATAGCAGATTATCGTTTGACAATAATACTAAATACTATTACACAAAAGATGGTTGTCATACATGTACAATTTTGATAAATATAAACAAACATTGGATTCTATTAATGTTTACAGGTGATGTATATTCTTTACACAAAATCATGAGCTCACATATTTAGATTGCTGGATTCCAAGCTTTATCAACCGACCTTGATCCGTATTTTGTCATCACTCGAATGTATTTCATTTTCTTTTTGGAAATGAAAGTACTTTTTACATCTATCTGAAAATTGTTTTGTATGGTTTTCAGTTCATTGCCTAATAATAATTCGCACTTTTGAAAATTGTTATTATGCTCTAGACGTAAACCAGGAATAGCTAGATAGTTGCTATTCATGGATCGAGTAGTTTTGAGATTGCTTAAAAAGGCTGACAACACTGCTTGATCTTGTCTATGATTCTTCATACTTGATCCGCGAGGTGACATACATTTTTGGGTAAAAGCACACTGATAATAAGGAATCATTACCTTATTCAATACGGTTTTGTTAGACCAATCGATAATCAGATGACCTCCAGATGCATTTGGATCCCTGGGGTTAAATCGATCGATCAAATGATTTCGTACTAAGAATTTTGCTGTAGCGAAATAAGTCCATTTATGTTGATTGCCTGAAGAAGGTGGGCTGTAAATTCCATCCATTCGAACATTTGTCAATTCACGACTTATTCCCTCGCGAATCAAGCTTCCTCCATCTAGCCAAAATACAATGCCTTTCCAAGCAAAATAGGCATCTCCTAATGGAATTACCTTCCATGCATATCCACCTCGTTGTTGTTTGTTTCCTGCAAGCTTTATCCATGCTGGAAATGAGTTGAACTTGAATTTACGATATGCAATGAATCCAGTCGAGTTCATTTTCTTTTGGATTTGATGAATTGTATTAAAATGAGTAAACAAAATGTTTCTGAATCTTGTAGATAATCCCAAATCGATATACATATAAGAAGCATATGGATCTGCTACTACCATAGAGAAGAGACAATTGAACGATCCCAAAGCATGGTTGTCAGATGCTCCAGTCATCATTAGCACTTCTGATGTTTGTTTCTCAAAATTGGGTATATCACCTGTTAGAACGAATGGAACTGATTCTATCTTCACTCCATAATTAACATATCGATTGGAGATATCCGAAACCAGCTTATTGAATGGAACTGGATAATGTATATTGGCATAATCATACTCTATGAATAATGAAGAGTAGATAATTTTTACGATTCTTTGAATATTTACCGAAGTCCTTGAGTTGGACAGGAGTCAGCAGATCTTCTGCAAAAGTTCGAATATTGGGTTCCACAGTAGTTTGTTCACTTGTTGTTCCATTAGACTCGTTCATACGATATTTACTTATTACTGTTGTTTGATAAGAATGAATGTACTTCACAGGATAACTAAAATGCACTTGAACATTATATTGTAATAGAGACAACTGATTCAGATATTGTGACAATACAAAGGACATAACCACTGACACTATCCATGGTAACCAATTATTGGTATTATAAGGTGTCATCTAAAAATAAGAAAGAAAGAAAGAAAGAAATTACTTCACAATTACTGGACAATAAGTAGTGAGTAATCGTAATTTGAAATTATCAGGAGTAATACTGTGGTTAATTTTGGAAAATGCCTCTTGCCTGCACTCAATTAACCGTACCTCTGTTTCGTACAAAGCCATTTTTTTTCATATATTTAACAAATCTTTTGTAAATATGTATATTTGTATTTCTTTTGTAAACTAATTCAATTAGATTCTAAAAATACAAGTTTAAAGATTTCCATTACATGTTCTTATCTCATAGATAATTCTGTATAAATTACAGTTCGATATTGGTATGTGTATGTTATTGCACGTTACTTCTCTTACCAGTGTAATCTTGAATTACATACACGGCATGCTTGTGTATCTAATTCAAAAGCACAAGTGATAATAAATAGCTATTGTTGTATGAAAAACATTTTGCATGGATTGTGATATTGATGAATACGCTGCCAATAAGTTAGTATATGATAATTCTTTTGGTTGTAGAATTAGAAACAGAGTATTCACATCACTCCTTTGTTTCTTATTATAGATATGTAAATAATCTTGACATGTGAAATTAACAAACTCCATATTATTGACAGGTGGGAAATATCATAATCAAGGTTTTTATCAAAATACTTTATACGGAACTTTCATAAAATCAAAATTAAGCAATTCTGATTCAAAACAATTCTATTAATATTTATAGACTATGAATGGTTGTTTTTAATACACTACATTTCCTCAAATAGTTTGGTATTCCAACCATTTTACTTTTTTTTAATTTATAAAAATCAATGTTTAATTCCCAGTACGATACTTATTGTTGAAACTTGTTAGAGACCAATCATTTTCACATCCACGAATCAAGCATTACTTGGAGATTCTCTGTTCATCAATCATACAAATGATCCGAAAGTCTATATTCCACCTTTCGATGATCATTCTTGGAACAAAATACACTATTTTCCATGGAATGATTCGTTCAATTATGATCAAATTTGTAACAATGTATTAAAGCGAATTACTAAAAATGATACTTTCTATATTATATCTGGTAGTTTCAATGGAGGTTTAGGACATAAATATTTATCAGTATTTCATTCTATAACTTATGCAATTTTGTTAGGACGGCGATTTTTGCGTTTGATTTGAATAATGATATGATTTATAGTTCATTTACCCGAAAGCTTTTGGAAAGAAACCAACAGTTGTTTTCGCCAATTACGATACTATGGAGGATATAAGGGATTGGTAATTTGTCGTAAGAACGGTAAATGTAATCACAAGTATATCACGAACTATCATAAGTTACCACAAGCAAATTTAGTAACAATTGATTTCCGCAACAATAAGCAACTAAATACAATAGAGAATCTAAATCTATTAAAGCAACTAGATAAAATTACAACAAGAAATTGGAGAGAATATCAAAAGGTAATATATGGAATTTTATTTTACTGTTCTATTTGAACTATTTTATAAATAATTATATTAGTTTTGCATATATCATCGAACTGCAAAATGCCACGAAATAAAGTACATGAAAAAGTGTTTAATACAAAGTCTTGCTTATTAACTCTTTGAATGTAATTTCTCAACATTAATTTTCATATCCTTAGTATAATTGGTTAATGTGTAGGTGCTTTCTGTTTTCTGTTTATAAGGACATCTCACTTTGAAATGGGCAATCCGTAATATGTTTCTCGGTACATTGCGCCCGTAATTACAATAATAACAGTCATGTATATAAAAGTATCCTTCAGCTTTTGTATCAATAACTTGTTTCGGCCTCCCTGATTTCTTATTATCCATGCGAATTGTGAAGTCATCAAACAGCGTACCATATCTCAGTGAGTTTTCTCTATTTGCTTTTCCAAGGTACATAAACGATTCCGCCTACAGTTCACTCCATAATACGAGAATACAGCAAGGGTTTGTTTTCCTGGATTTATTGTGAATATCCTCTGAATTGCTTTATACAAATCATAGGGGTATTGTTCACTATAAAAATATTCATCTACATCCTGTGAAATAATATATTTATAGTAGTCACGATGTCTGTAATAGCAACTATTGATATGACTACCTTGAATGGATAATTGCGTAAACTTCCATTTTTTCGTTAATGGCCATGGATATTCATAAAGAATAACATATCCACTTTGAATTTCTAGTTGTAATGCCTGTTGGAAATAATGACATTTTACAGTACAATACAGAATGACATTATCAACCTCTTGTAAAACGTAGTAAGCCAATAGCGACTTTATTTCATTGACTGTATTGTAATTTGAAATATATGCACAAACAGCTATTTTTCTCTTTGGTTGGCTCGCTAGGGCTCTGTATGGTAGGTTTTCATATCTGACTTTGATTGTACGATCATATAAGGAAACAGTTCCGGATGATGGTAAACTAGGTATTTCATATTTAAGAACCCTTAGATGTCCTTCTCTAACTTGACTAAATACATTATTGTATTTAGTACCATTCAGGAACAGCTCCACATTATAACTAGAATACTTATTGTATCTTCTGCTTCTAGTATTACCGTTATTAATAATTACATAAACTGCCCAAGAATTGTTCCTTTTGGAAACAATAATATCGTTAACTAACGGTACATTTTTATTCTTTTGAGCTTGACGAAGTTTCTTGGCAAAATTGTAATCAACTTCGAGTTTTAATCTATGAAAATTATGTCTCTTGGACCATACATTATGATAAGTCAGGTTGATTTCTGTCTTTAGAATAGATATATTCCTGCTAGAAGAAAAAGAGGAGATATTCAATGTAGGTCTTATCCATTTTAATGAAGTAGAATTTTTATCTGAATAAAATGAAACACTACGATTCTTTGAAACAAAATGGATAGTACTTGAAACGTCTGGGATAATAGATTCATTGTATTCTTTAAATATAAGAGATGGAAGAAAAAGAGCAAACAACAACAATCTACAAATATTATGTAATATTGTTTATATACGGTAGTGTAGTTTTGTATATCGCGTATATACTATTCATTATAATCACTCTATGCTCATTAAATAATGCTAAATAAATATTATAAAGAATACATTTTTAATTATAACATTCATTCATGTTAATAGGTATAATTTATTAGCATATGTTGAATTTGTTTATTTTAATTATATTGTACTATTTGATAAAAACAAATGAATAGTAAAATCTTGAAGAACGAGCTAATGTTGTGCGAACTTATTTACAATGAATAATGGATATGCATCTTTAATAGGTATTATAAGCATTACTGTGCACAAATGCATATCTACAATTGGTAAATGTTGTGTGTTGTATACAACACTCATTATTTGTATTAACACTGGATAATGATTATGATCTAGTAAATTGTGGATTTATTGATATCCTTAACGTGATTCTACAATTGAAAATGAAAAATAAAAAGATGTAACGTATTGCCAACTTTAATTTTTATTTTGTGATGAATAACAGACATGGCTATTGTGGAGTGAGAATTATAATGTAATATTATGATCATAAAATTTACAAGGCGTTGTGTTGAATGACAGCATATCCTGGGAAATAAATCGAAAATATATGAAGCTTGTATAGAAATCTTAAATTCATAAGAAATATAGTTAATTGAATGTAATATAGAAATTTTGATATATAATTTATGTCAACTAATGGACTAATAAGTAGATGTGAGATATGGTAAATGATAACTATATTTCCAGAAATGATTGAATAAACAGAAGTTAACTAGATTTGAATTTTTTATATATTATTTTGTAACAAAAATCCAAAACTATTGTCGGTGACTAAGAAACACTGTTATATCTCTTATTTTGCAAGGAATTCATTCACATTTATAATTATTACTATATATTAATTGAATCGAAATATTGAAATGATAAATAATGTAATATAAAGAGATAATAATATTACCTAAAATATGGTATTTTTCAATACTTATTTCCTATCATTCATAATAGTAGTCTGTTATGAAGATATTAGGATAAATCTACCTGCTAAACAATGCAAAATTCATTTCACATTACAGTAGCCACTGATTGCAATTGATGACTAGATTATTTATAGCATTTTGCTATTAGTTGTATATGCTATATCTAGATCGTTTTATATAGTATTATTGTGGTATATTTTTTCCGAAGAATTCTCTTTACACACATTTCAAACAATGATAATAAAAATGCATTCTTTCCCCGAATATTACAATTATGTTTTATCCCGCATTATTACTATGAAAATGAGAGAGTCATAATACCAAAAATAACTTTGTATTGTTATTTACATACTATTTCTAAATTGTAATTTTGGCATACGTTGATTATGTAATATTAAAACACTACTATGAAAAGAATAACTATTCCTCAAAACAGCCTCATGCAATATATTCATCATTGATTGCTTAAAATTGAAATTAGATTGTTTGCTGCTTTTTATCCCAATCACATATTTCTAACCAATTCTTGGGATTACAAGCAGTTACACAGAAAACATAAAAAGAAAAGTAGTCCTAAGTTATGAACTATACATAAACAAACACAAATGTTAATCTTTCTCTACATTTCTGTTCACGATTCTTAGAGATAAAAAAAGACCATCAACATTTTGATAGAATATGCATATTTCATATCGATTTCACGTTTACAGTATTGTATATAATTCATTCTATTTCAGATATTTATTACTATATGCCATAAACATTGAAATAGCATAAACAGTGTACATACTATACCACTAATTTACATATATTCCTTGTAATAGAAGCAACCTTTATTATAAATGTAACACGTACAGGTATAGAATAAACAATATTACTATAGAAACATTCATTCACAAAATAATAGAATAAGACTTAAACACAATTATCGTCACATTATCATACAAGATCTTTTATTTTGAACATATATATTACCCAATAAATC